TATCTCTAAAGACCTGCAGTTCAGATAGGAACATTAAAGATGAGTCTTGACTCAGCTTATGTGCTTGGCCTTTATTTTCACTGCACAAGTAAGAGGAAGAGAGGAGGAAAGGCAAACTTACTGGTTTCTCAGGTCTTAACTCACAGCCCTGTAACATCTGGACCTGGTTAAATTCCCATCCCAAAGTGAACTGCCATCCCTTGGGCACAAAGAATTGATGGCTTAGCCTGGCGGTGTCTGAAAGATGAGCTATTTGATCCTGCTTTTGGAAGAAGCACCAGAAAAGCTGCCCCATTCCTTTCTCCTCAATAAACTGGACCCGTAAACTTGAAGCCAGATGCCTGCACTTGTGTGTGTGAAAACAACACCCCAGCCCATATGTCAGCAGTAGAGTGGGGAGTGCTGCTAATAGCTCTGTCAAAGCACTCAGCAAGGGCAGGTATTGCAGACAAGGTTTTCCAGTTGGATTCAATAAATCAAAACCACAGCACAACTATTTTTTACTGCATCTTTCAAGCAAAGTTGCTTTCCAGATGGCTTTGGGCAGAAGGAGGAATATGACCCCTGGGGAGCTACCTGTGAAGGAAGAAGAGAGATTTGCATGGAGGGAGGTGATGAGATCCAAGGGTATGGCCAGGGCACTTTAGAGCTGGGGGATATATATCTCATCCAGTGGGATACAGGGAAGCTCTTGTTTTCCCCCCATGAGGGCTGTCAAGCAGTGGACCAGCATCCCAGAGAGATTTGGTCTCTATCACTGGGGGTCTGTCAAGGCAGATCTGAGCTGGGGTAAAGCTACTTACCACGTTGGCTCCAGTAAGGTGCAGGGGGATGCCTGGGGATATTCAACCTTTCCTAACACCTATCAAGCTCACTACAGCTCAGCAATAGTCAGCTGTGACATCACTTGTTATTCGACCCAAATCCTGGAGGAGTTATGAGTGATTTTAATGTGATGTGGACTTAAAAGATACTTATTCTTCCTGCACACCCATTTTTCTACCCTATGGTAGACCCAGGTTCTCCTTACTCAGGACAAATGGTGGCTTCACCTTCTGGAAACCTTTCCTGCTCTCCCGGGTCCTTGTCCTCCATCACCTTGAACACCATGACACCCTCTTGGACACGATTCCCCACCCAACTTTTTTCTTCCTCCTTTTCCATCTCCAGGATCTAATGCTCATCTATGGCTCCACTTCCCGTCCAAGTCTCCATGTCCCATCCACCTCTTCAAACCCATCCTCTCAACCATTGTTTTCCACTCGGCTTTCACCAGGACTCCATCCCCAACATGCCCATATTTGAACCTTTAAAGCTGTGATACCCAAAGAGATGAGGGCAGACCACACAAGGTGATGGAAACCTTCCCAGCCCTACTCCTGCACCCGCTACCACGAAGCTCCCACCATCAGTCCATCCAGGCTTGAAGGTCACTGCCAGTAGGTGTTGCCAGAGGGGACTTTGACAGATGCACTTGAAACAAGGGAGCTGTTCTGAACCGAAGATTGACAGGAACAAGCTTTTTATAGTTGGGTTCCTTTTTCTTTTTTTCAGTGAATTGCGTCCTTCTGAAAACACTGTTTTAGCAGGAGAACTGCCTTTGAATCTGTCCTTTCCCACTTTGGGGTTGAGAAGAAAGAGGTCATTTATTCTAAGGAAGCCAAAGGAATATAAAGGCTAATGGAAGGAAAAAGAACTCATGGGTAGGAGCGTATTTTGATTGGAAGGTGGGAAACTTGAGCGACATTAAAAGCCCTGTTTAAAAATGACCGAGTGGAAAGTTATAAAAATGAACAAGTCTTGTGTGAAAACGATGAGGGGAATTGCAGGCACAATAGAAGTCATCTGTGAAAATTGCCGGGAGAGCAGAGAAGACATTTGTGTCTCCAAAAGCAAAATAAAACCCCATCCACAGTAATTCGTCATAATGACTCGTCTTAACTAGTACTAATTTTTACCCAGCAGTAATTACTATTTAAGGCTCCAGAGCTCTGGAAAAATGACTTTCTGGGTGCAGCGACATCCTTGCAGAGGGATTTGCACAGCGTTTGAGGGCAGCCTGTTAAGGGAGAGGTTTTATTTCTCCTCCACACCAATACGGAGAGACATAAATATCCCACTCTTATTGATGCAAATAACGGATTGCTCCTGTCAGAACTGACAAAGGCGCTAATTTAGGGAGCGTTTCCCTCTCTCATGCACACAGATGCGTTTTTCAAGAGGGGTTTTTTTCCTGCTCTCCCCCTTGGAATGTGAGTTCCCAAAAACCAGGTGAAAATCCGCCAGACGATCCCTTGGGTTTGATTGCATCTGTGAAGAGCCTGTGGGAAACATATGCCAGGAATTATGCTAACGACAGAGCGCAGTAAAACCTGCCAGGTAAAGGCAGCAGTTGTCAGCAGGAGACAGCCCAGATGTCATTTTGGGATCCTGCTCTCCATTGCAATGGTCCAGAAATGACTCTTGGTCCCACTGGGGACTTTCACTGATGCTTAAACTCAAGCCCAGATTTTCATTCTCATCCTTTCATTATTATGATGTTAGTGCAGGGACTGATGTGTCCTCTGAAAGCTGCATGAGGGATGGGCAAAGCTTTGGTTGCAGGTGGAACACAGTGTTCTTGTAAAATTCATTATATTCTTTATATTTCATCGTATAAGTGCTTTCCAGAGCACTGATTTTCCATCAAGTCTTCTTGGATGCCTCACCACCATCCTCTGGGTGGGATTTCTATCCAATACCACACATGCAAGCAAATATCACAGGACACTACTATGAACTTCCCCAAAGCCATGTCCCTATGCTCAGCTGTGGGACTCTATTCTGTCCTTGCTGCTGGCATCTCTGTGGCTGCTGGTGGGACAAGCCAAGGACCTGGTCTAGATGAAAAGTGGTTGTTGTGTTCAACTGTGGAAGTTGCATGGTCTGGGTCACCCTGTGCCACCAGTTTGCTGGGTATGAAGTGGCAGCAGGAGCTCTCCATCCAGGCTGGATGATGGCGTTTCTGCCTAATCTCATCTTGGACAGCCCTAATTTCTCCAAGCCCTGCCTTCTCCAGCCAGGATCATCCCAAAAATGGCAAGGGACACACACACAAAGCAAGGCTCTCACTCTGGTGTGCAGCCAGTGATGGAGAAGCTGGGAATTGCCATGCCTGTGGCTGCAGAGGTTGTCGTCTCCAGCCCAGCACCCCCGGTCCCTGTAAGGGATCTCCTCAGGCACATCTAAATGAGCAGCCCTCACCCATCCATAACACAGACATCTAGAAAATACCCAGGGAGCAGGCTGAGGGCATTGAATGGCATCTGCTGGGAGGGTGCTGAGCCTGTGGGGATCAAATGCCAGTTCAGAGATGAAAAGGTCCTCTTGGACACCCAAGGATCGGAAGGCCAAATGGTGAATACCAGCTAACGGCTTTACTCTGGCTCTAGTGATGAGTGTATCCTTAACACCTGCCCACTATTCCCGATTGCATTACTGACAATGGAGAGCTGCCCATTTGCTCTTTAAGTCCGCTTTCTCTAGAGAAAATCAATCAGTGCAGCAGTCAGTCAATCAGGCAGTCAATCAGTGAGGCAGTCAATCTGAACCACTTGGAAATGGGTCCTGCAGAGACCTGGGCTCCCACCCAAAAGCCCTGTGAGCAGGAAAAATCTCCAGCTCTGAGGGATGCTGAGACCTTCCCCAGCCCAAGGCACAGTTCCCGACCTGGCGAAGCGTCAGCCATCCCAGCATGGGGCATGGTGGCTGCAAAAGCATCCTGGAGCAAAGCGCTCCCTGGCTGGAGATGGTCCCTCTTGAGGGATCGAAATCACAACACACACAGACACACAGCACCCGCCTTTGGGACTTGCAAGAGTTGCTGATGCTGACATCTAGTGACAGGCAGAGCCGGCAAGAGGGGTTACCTGGAGCCTTGACAAAGCTTTCCCCACCGAGGGAAGAATCTTCCCGGGGTCTTCCCAAGGAGGTGGGCTCCCAGCAGGGATGTTCATGGGGTGGAGGAGACGACCCGGGATGTTCCAGCCGCTTCAATACATCCCAACACCTTATCATCGAAGAGGACGGACGCATCCTCCCCTTTGCCTCCCCACTGCTTTCCCTGGTTTATTTCAGCACAGAGTCGTTCTGGGTTTGCTGTCTCCAAGAAGCACAGGGAAAGGGGCGAATAATACCCTAAGGGAGGTGTCGGGGTTACAACCAGGCAAAACAGGCGGCTCCCAGCCGGGATGCAGCCGCTAACCGGGAAACCTGGAAGGAAGCCCTGGGAATTGCAAGCGGGAGAACCATCCACTCCGAGCCGGGGAGAAGCAGGATACGAGCGGGATGCTCAAAGCAAGGGTGCTGCAGACCACATCCTCTCTCGGATATGGCAGCACCCCACGGGGAACAGCATCTCCCAGGCACGAGAGTGGAGGAAGGCTGCCTTGGAGCGCTTGAAGGAATAGGGGAGACATCGGGGGTCCTGAACCCCTCGCTCCTTCGCAACAAAAAAGCCCATTTTTTTGTGGGAGGACAAGAGAAAATCTGCAGCAGGAACCCCACAGCACACATACACAGACACAGGCTGGGGTCAGATCGGTGATCCGGGGCACGGTGCACGGCGCTGCACAGCGCAACACGGAGCAGGGGCTTCCAACCCCGTAACCCAAAGCCCAAAACCCCGACATATTCCATCTCCATCATCACCGTGGGGCTCCCGGCGCTGTGCAAATTCCCTGTCCGTGCCCCTCAACACAATCCCTCCGCGTTCCTCTCGCCCCAGCCTCAATTCCCGGGTTACATTTATCCATTTCCACGACAAACAGGACTATCCGGAGTGACAGCATGCAACATCCCAGCGCTTCGGTCCACAGCAGAGAGGTGGGCGATGCTGCCCCGGGGCTTGACACTGCTCCAAGGGGGATGAAGAGGGAAGACCACCCCCCCCAGCCGGGGGGTGTCCGAAACAACCCCGCAAACAACCCCCAGCAGAAAGTTCTCCCCTCCGTGCTACTCACCCAGGAGGATCAGCGTGCAGAAGTAGAAGATGCCCCTCATCCTACCGCTCGGCACGGCTCGGATCAGCACCGACTCGGCACGGCTCGGACCGACCGGCCCGGCTCGGCTCGGCACCGCGGAGGATGCGCGGAGGCTGGGCAGGGCGAGAGGCGTCCCCGCCGCCCCAGCCCGGCCCCCGGGGCGATCGCTCACACCTCGGCCGGCCCAGCCCCGCTCCGGACCCGGGTCATGCCCGCAGCCGGGCTGGGTACCGCGGGCTGCCGCCGGCCGAGCGCCGCCGCATCCCCGCAGGGATGAAGAAGGATGGGGAGGGGGTGGGCGCTTCCCCGAAGGTTCAATTATATTATTCGTATTAAATAATTAAATCTCCCCTCTCTTTCAGCAGCAAACTTCTGTCCGCAGCCCTCGCCGCCTTCCCCGGGCCGCCACCGCCACCGCTTCTCCCCGGCCCCGTGGGGAGGGGCCTGGCAGCCCGGCCCCGTTCCTCCCCGCCTCCCCGGGGCGAGGGGGGGATGTGGAGCCTCCTCCAACACAGAGCAGGTCGTAGCCAGCTGTGTTGGAGCCCCCCATGTACTCCCGGGGCATGGTCCCTTCGAGCCCCGCAGTGCCTTCTTCATCACCTGGTGACCTCTTGGAGAGTCCCAGCACACCTCACACCCCCAAACCCTCATCACTTTGCAGCCTCCGACAGCCCCAGCCCCTTAGGACCTGTGTCTTGGTCTTCACTGTTTGCTAGCAGAGACCCAGCCCTTAAGTCTTGGGCCACATTCTCCCATGACACCTTCCATTAATCCCCTACAACACGATCACATTCCAAATCTCCTCCAAGAAAACACCTCTGTAAATACAGGTCCATAAACCTCCATCCATGTACCCACACCTCCTTCTCCACGGTGCCCTGACCCTATCCTGTTCCTGGAGACCCCTCACTGTGGTCCCCTGGTGCTTCTCTCAGCCCTCCAGCATCTCCCCCCCTCATCTCGATGTCCCAGCATGTGACCCACACTGAGGAAGCCAAGCAGCAGAGCCTGGCTCCTTAATCTTTATGATGAGTGAGCATCGTTTTCCACTACCTCCATTTCATGCATGGAGTAGCCAAGACACAAAATGTGGAGTGATGGCTTCAGGTTCACCCAGTAATTAACTGACGGACAGAGGAAGAAGCCTCATTCCCAAGGCAGTACACTGTAAACACAGCCCCTCTGTTCCTCCTCCTAATGCAGGCTTGCCCTTCCAAAGGTCTTATCTTTCCCTTCCTTTCCCTCCTTCATCTCTTCTCTTTTCCTTTTCTTCTCATTTCCTTTCCCTCCCTTCTCCTTTGTTTTCCCTCTTTCTCTTCTCCTTCCTTTCTCTTTCTTCCCTTCCATTCCCTTCTTTTCCTTGCTCTTCCCTCCTCAATGTCTATCCCTTCTTTTTCCTTCCTCCTCTCTTTCCTTCCCTCATTCCTCCCTGTCCATCTCCCTAGCACAGACGTTCCTCCAATGATTCAGAGCAGCACTGGAGCACTTTTCCCATGCCAAAAGCTCAGGCAATGCTTTTGAACATCTGCAGCCAGAGCTTTTCCCAACTGCTGGGTCAGGGGTTTCGGCTGAACAGGTATTTAAATGCCCCGGGAAGGTTTTTGTGCTGGAGCTGTTCAGGGTTCTTAACTTGGTTTCCTCGTGGCATCACCACGTCAATCCTCCTGCAAGTTCTCCTAGGGAAAAAAGGAGGAATTGCGCATTTGTGTTTCCAATGAGCAAAGCAGAGAAGGGAAATCGTTCCTACGGCCACATGTAGATGGTCTGTGTCAAGCATAAAGAAGTGGAGAAAACGCTACATGAGATTTTCCTTTTGATTTTCCTTTTCCTCTTGGAAAAGAAAGTGTGATCCTTGGCATTCCTCTCCTTCGGAAAGCTTCTTCCATGCTCCAGGCTAGAGCTCCTCCTTTAGCAAGTTTCCTAGTCCTCTGTCAGCATTGAAAAGCTGTAAATAAATCAGTGCCTTTAACAACTGTATTCACATCCCAAAGGAACATTTCCTCAGCTATTCAGTGGAGGAAAAGAAAGTGTTAAGAAAACCTCATTCGGAGTAAAAAAGCATCACTGTGGAGCTGGGGTATTTTTGACTTCTTAAGGAAGAGTACGATTGTGTTTAAGCAAATTTCCAACTGAAACGGCAATGAGATGCAATTGAAACATCCAGCTGGGAAACGGGGGAATTATTGGATTTTTCTGCTTATTATTATTTTTAATTATTTTGCAGATTCTTTTTTAGTGTTCTATTTTTGAAGGGGCTGTTTGCCCAGGAAAAAGAATAGTGCTGGAACATATGGGAGGGTTTGTAGGCTTTTTAACAAGCAAATAAAAATATTTTCCTTGGAAAATGTTTGCCCTCCCCTCGGGAATGAGGTGCTCTGATGCCCTTGGACCACAGCAGGTGACCTAAGCATCATCACCCCACTCATTAATGAAGGGATGGGTTTGGCTCAGTGTCCCACCTCCCACAGGGGTTCTGATACCAGGGATGGGAGAGCTGGGCTGGGGCAGCCTGGAGAAGAGAAGGCTCCTGAAGGGGAGACCTTAGAGCAGCTCCAGTGCCTAAAGGGGCTGCAGGAAAGCTGGAGAGGGGCTTGGGACAAGGGCCTGTAGGGACAGGCCAAGGGGAATGGCTTGAACCTGCCCGAGGGGAGACTGAGCTGAGCTCTTAGGCAGAAGCTCTTCCCTGTGAGGGTGCTGAGGCGCTGGCACAGGGTGCCCAGAGAAGCTGTGGCTGCCCCATCCCTGGCAGTGTTCAAGTCCAGGTTGGACACAGGGGCTTGGAGCAAGCTGCTCCAGTGGAAGGGGTCCCTGCCCGTGGCAGGGGTTGGAGCTGGGGGAGCTTTTAGGTTCCTTCCAAACCAAACCAATGTGGGATTCTGTGGTTCTTTCCCTAGCACTGTGTCTTGTCCCCCGATGAGGTCTGAGCTGCAGGAAAACATTCCCTTTGGTCCAATCAGTGAAGCAGCAGCAAACCCCTCCACCCACACATGTAGAGCTGGGGGAGGCAATGTGAAAGCAGCCTTGCTGTCCCCTCTTGGGCTGAGGAGAAGCTACAACCTCCCCCTCCATACAAGGGGAAGTCATCAGTGAATCAGTGCGATGAAAGCAACACTTCATCCTAAGTTTGATGAAAATAGACAATAGCAGGGGGTTGGGAGATGGCAAAAGTCCAGGCATAGACAACCCCTACCACCCATCCCAACAGGGAGGCATTTCCTGCCTTTTCTTTAGAGGAAGGACTCGTGCACTGGGAAAAGCCACCCAGAAGAGACATGCTGCAAATACCATGAAGAAAGAGGGATCATTGTTCCTTGCTGCTTTATTTATCAGATCTGGGCTTTCTCCTAACTGCTGGGTAGATGCTGAGATGAATAGAGTTAAGGAAGAAAACCACTCCTTGTACACACATACACACCCCTCTCCTGAAATTACCTGCTACCTTTCCTTACAAATGAATCCAGGTATTGATCATAGTATTGTTGCTCCTATTAGACCTATCCCAATGAGCTGCTCCCCAGAGCTCCAGACAACACATTCAGCAAAGGCAATGAAAGAAAGGATTGTTTGTGTAGGTCCATGGAGAAATCACTGGGCAGGGAAGGCACGTGAAATATGCTGATTAAAAGAAACCCAGTTGTGAGACTGAAACAGGTTACAATGGAAACTGAAACACAAGGTTGGTTTGTCTTCCTTAAAGCTGCTGTGGAGGACCCAGCCATGCACACTCCCTTGATAATAGATGGTCTCCTCATCCAAAAATACCCATAGAAACAAGGCAAGAGAACTGTAGCTGTCTCTATTTATGAATAGTGAAGCGATGACTGAGAAATTAAGGGATTCATGTAACTCAGGGAAGCTGGAAAACAGTCATGACTTTTTGATCTGAAGGTCCTTTCCAACCCTAACTATTCTATGATTCTGTGATCCTATAACCTTGTCCTGAGCTGGAAGAGCTGCTGTGATGTTCATCCTTACCTGCTGTGCTTGACCACCAACCTGCATTCTCTACATCCCCTTCTTAACCAGGTGCTGTTGGTGCTGGCTTTAAGGAGAGGGCAGGGGGAGGATCTAGATTCTGGCTTATCAGCTGTTTGTGAGATTGTAAGGCTGTGAGTTGGAAACATCTGGGTTTTGTTAGTTTAGGGGGTTTGCTCCTCTTTGTTGCTTGCAGATGTGTTGTTATGGACTCTGGTTGCTGAACTTCCGGGATAATGTCTTACAAACCTATTAAATCAGGCTGCCATGAGGGAAGGAGAGTTTCTCACTACCATTTAGGAGCAAGTAAGGAGCAAACAAAACCACCCAAAGCAATTAATTGTGGTTGCTGTGAAACCTTTCTAGGAAGAACTTCCTTCTTCCAAGGACTCCGGAGTGTCTCAGCACCTGTAGGGTGTCCAAATTCATTGCTTGGTTCAGTAGGTTTGGCTTCGCAGGCAAATGCAAAGACTTTGGGAATCCTTGTAGGTTTTGTGTTCCTTTGGTGAAATCCTGGGAAGCCTGAGCTCTTGGGAAGCTTGAGCTCCCAGCCAGGTCAGTTGGAGGACCACGTTACCCTGCAGAGTTACGCCATCAATAAATGCAGCAAATCACACTCCTCACTTTGCTGGACCACGGCCACCCGTTAGGTGGGATACAGCAGGGTTAATCTTCCATGGTTTGTACTTGTTTGGAGGTAAACAAAGGGGAAACGGGATCTGGGTGTTGGAGTGACCCCAAATCCCCCTGTGCTCTTCATATATCCATTCATAGGATACATTGAAAACACAGAAGATGGGCATACATTATACAGTGAAATGAAAGGTGAGGTTATGGCTGATATCCAGTTGTATTTCTTGTCATAATGTGGGTATCCCTTGGGAAACAATAAGTATTTCACCTTTGCTTTCAGTTAAGATGAATTGTTGAAGAGGGTGGCAAAACCAAGGTGAACTGAGAAAGAAAATGCACTGAGAAATGAGAGCTACAGGGAAGCTCCATCCCCAAAAACATTATATCAAGACTGCATACACTCCATCACCATAGCTCCGCAGATCAACATATACAAACTTGGATTTGGAGGCAAGGATGCAAACCAGAAACTATCCAGTCAAGGGACAGCCTCTGGACTGGGGACCAGCAAAAGCAGTGCTTATATCAGAAAGACAGAAGTAATCCAAGAGCTATCAGAGATGCAAATCTCTGCTCAAAGCTTCACTGGGCTTTATAACAATATGGGGGGAATGGGGAGCTGAAGACACGGGGAATGGCCAAGAGATCACAGCATGCAAACCTGGTATTTTCCTGGATAAAATGCGTTTGTTTAGGAACAAAAAAATGGACATGAGAAAAAACTCCTTTCTTTGGATTTTAAACGGAAAATTGATGCAGTGCCATGGGGTAACCTTGTTACTCTAGCAAGAAAACACAGCTTTTGACGAGGGAACCA